AAAAAAAAAAAAAAAAAAAAAAAAAAAAAAAAAAAAAAAAAGGACTTGAGGATTGAGTACAGGGGGAAGAAAATTTCAAAAGCTATCCCTCTCTGTCGGAAATGAATTGAAGAAGAAATAACAAACCCGCGAAATAGGAAGCGGAGGCCAACGAACTCTCCCTCTCTCCCTCTCTGCCGCAAATCCAGTCAGTTCCACAAGAAGCTCGCTTGGACAGTCCAAATTCAATCCCTTTTCCATCGTTATATTCCCCCATTTTCATTTCTGCCCTGGAAGCCTCTCTCCTCGGTCCCTCTCTGTGTCTCTCCCGCTGCTCACATTCATTTTTCAAAGGTTCAACTATTTGCTGCTTCTTCGACTCTCCTCATTCTTCCTTCTTGTTATTTCCCCATTACCCATCTCTTTATATTATGCACTTTTTCTATAACAGGTATAAAAGATGGCAGATGCAGAGGACATTCAGCCTCTTGTGTGCGACAATGGAACAGGAATGGTTAAGGTACACTAATCTAGAACCAAAAAACGAATCTAAAGAACAATGAACTATATGATGTCTGCTTAATACCTTTTCTTCTTTGTGTTTAGGCTGGATTTGCTGGGGATGATGCTCCCCGGGCAGTCTTCCCTAGCATCGTCGGCCGTCCTCGTCACACCGGTGTGATGGTTGGCATGGGCCAGAAAGATGCTTATGTTGGTGATGAGGCTCAATCCAAGCGTGGTATTTTGACCCTGAAATACCCAATTGAGCATGGTATTGTGAGCAACTGGGATGACATGGAAAAAATCTGGCATCACACCTTCTATAATGAGCTTCGTGTTGCCCCAGAGGAGCATCCTGTACTCCTAACTGAGGCTCCTCTTAACCCCAAAGCTAACCGTGAAAAGATGACACAAATCATGTTTGAGACATTCAACACTCCTGCCATGTATGTAGCTATTCAAGCTGTCCTCTCACTCTATGCCAGTGGTCGAACGACTGGTAACCCTTCCAAACATGATTTGATTGATTCTCTTACCAACTTAATTTGGTGTTGCTATCTTCTTACTTTTCTGTCCTGTAGGCATTGTGATGGACTCTGGTGATGGTGTTAGTCATACAGTCCCCATCTATGAGGGTTATGCTCTTCCGCATGCCATTCTTCGACTCGACCTTGCTGGCCGTGATCTTACTGATAACTTGATGAAAATTCTCACGGAGCGTGGATATTCATTCACTACCACAGCAGAGCGGGAAATTGTGAGGGATATGAAGGAAAAACTTTCATATATTGCCCTTGACTACGAGCAGGAACTTGAAACATCCAAAACCAGTTCATCAGTTGAGAAGAGCTATGAGTTGCCTGATGGACAAGTCATCACAATCGGTGCCGAGCGTTTTAGATGCCCGGAAGTTCTTTTCCAGCCATCCATGATCGGAATGGAAGCTGCAGGTATTCATGAAACCACATATAATTCTATCATGAAGTGCGACGTAGATATCAGGAAGGATCTGTATGGCAACATTGTCCTCTCTGGTGGTTCGACCATGTTTACGGGCATCGCCGATAGAATGAGCAAGGAAATCTCTGCATTGGCTCCAAGTAGCATGAAGATCAAGGTGGTGGCACCTCCAGAGAGAAAATACAGTGTCTGGATCGGTGGTTCCATCTTGGCTTCTCTGAGTACCTTCCAGCAGGTTGCTATTATTCATTCACAAAATGCCTTTCACAAAATGCTTTCAGTTGTTCCCTTAATTATAATACTTAATCGCTGTCTTGTTTGTTTTGGTGCAGATGTGGATTGCAAAGGCAGAGTACGACGAATCTGGGCCGTCGATTGTCCACAGAAAATGCTTCTAAAATGACAAAGAAACAGAACGGTTAAGAAGACATGGGAGTACTTGTAGTCCTTTTTGTTCTAGCTTTTATTGTTTTAGTATTGAAATAATTGATTTGAAGAAGGTATTTGAGTTGGTTGCCACGACCAAACCCTTCTTTTATTAATATTCATTTTGCTTACCATAATTGTTCTCGTAATCATAATTTAAGACCCAAAACTTGGTACTTCAAACTGCCATTCCAGGAAGAAGAAGAAGAATATGTTAATTTTTACTTGTACCGTTTCAATGACTTTCTTACCTCAATTTTTACATCTGGATTTGAATATTTGACCTTCAAGGAAGAAGAATATGTTAATTAATCAAATATAATCAAAGGGGATCTTGAAGAACTTTTGAGAGATGTAATCTACAGAAGCTTTTGCACTGGGAAAACGAGATTATACATTGAATTAGAAAGATAGTTAAAGAAGAATAATCGCACTGGTAAACAAATTCTTCAGAACTAGAAGGAAATGATCAGCAATCAAATATTCCTCGAGAGCTATGAGAATAATCAAGGACGAGTAAAAATATTTATATGGAAAAAATGAAATGCTTTACGTAATGTTTCAACTTATTTGATGGTTTCCTCGATAGCTCCATGAAGCCTGTACTCTTCATTGAAAGCAGGAATAATCAAGGGCATATATTTCTCAGCTGGATCCAAAATTGAAGGGCAAGGAACCTGAAAAAGATTAAAGAAACTGCTTCGTGCATCCTACATACCATTTGGTACCCCTTCTTTATAAGAGTGTAAAAACTTCTCCCTAGCAAACGCGTTTTAAAAACCTTGGGGGAAGCCCAAAAAGAAAAGCTCAGAAAAGCTTAGGCTGTTACAAATGGTATCAGAGCTAGACACCGGGCGATGCCAGTGAGGAGTTTGAGCCTCGAAGGGGGTGAACATGAGGTGGTGTGCCAGCAAAGACTCTAGCCCCAAAGAGGATGGATTGGGGGGTCCTACATCGATTGGAGAAGGGAGGGCGGTGGACACGAGGCAGTGTGCCAGCAAAGACGCTAGCCCCGGAGGGAGTGGATTGGGGGGTCACATCGATTGGAGAAGGGAACGAGTGCCAGCGAGGATGTTGGGCTCTGGAGGGTGGATTGTGAGATCCCATCGGTTGGGGAGGAGAACGAAACATTCTTTATAAGGGTGTGAAGCTAGCGGTGGACTTGGACGGGTTACACTTAGCATGAGTGAGTTTTGTAATGAGCTGCTTCTTTTTGGTTGGTTGTACAAGTACTTATTTTGAGGGTGCAACACAAGTCTTCAATAGACTTCAGAAGGGCTTTGAAAAGGATTTTACGATTACTGTGAGAACCCTCAAACAGAATTTAAAAGACCAAGTGCACTTCTTCTGACTACCGGAGCAAAAGATGGGGATCAGAACCCCAAATTGTCCGAAACAGAAACTGAAAATTATGTGGAAAAGTAGAGTCTAAAATCACCAAGGAGCTTCAGTATCTCCTCGTTGGAAAAGGCTATGGAACAAGAATTTGCTGCTTTGCTTAACAACAAAACTTGTAGCCTATTTTCCCTCTCAACAAAGTTAAATATCATTGGGAATAAGTGGTTGTTCAAGGTGTTCCAGGTGTTCAAGGTAATATATTGATCATACAAACATGTTACAGATTTGAACAAACTCCTTGCATTGAAACATCTTGGGTTGTATAACCTTTTGGGATTATAAAAAGAAACGGGATAATTTAGAAGCATTTGGTTAGCAGACTGTCTTTTCCTGCAATGTTCAGACTCTCTTTCGTTTGTGTTCAATGGGCATCCATTGAAGAAGGAAGGGAGTTAAACACTTTGGCTAAATTTCATTCGGGCTTTTTTGTGGTCTATGTGGATTGAGAGCAAAGCTCGCATTCTTACAAATAAGGAACAAGATCCCCAATCTCTCCTTACTTACACCTACCGCATATTCTTAACCCTATCGTAGTGCAAATTGAGCACTCTCTTTCTCTTTTGTTAAGCTATAAGGTACATACAATCCTACGATCAAATTCTAGATTGTTTGACTAAACCTCTACCTGCCTATAAATCCAACCTCTTCAACGAAAATATAATCTGAATGGCGCTCAATCGTGGCGTCTCACACAAAACATTCAATCGAAGCTAACTGATACATATATATGATCGAAGTTACCGGTTTCAACGAGTTTGAGAAATTAAAAAACGGATGAGCAGAACGAAAACCTCATCTAGGCAGATATATGATAATTTGAGAAATTAAATTGCATTTCAAATAAATGAAGATTGATGCAGTAACGTACTCATGATTGAATCTCCTCCTTTTGAGCTTCGATGATGATAGAAGATATCAAACCTGCTGCAAAATAAAGAGTGGAGCTAATAAAAATGAACAGTATCGTCCATGGATACTCACTCCATTCTGTACCTCAAATTGCAGCCGGAGCAGAGAGAGGTTGGCGCTAGTCCAACAAATGAATTTGTCGAATTGTTAAACTTAAATCGTTAGGACAATAAGCCCGTCTAGCTCAGTTGGTAGAGCGCAAGGCTCTTAACCTTGTGGTCGTGGGTTCGAGCCCCACGGTGGGCGAATGTATTTTTTTGGATTGATTTTGGTTGCCCTTTTATTTGGGCCTAGTTCCATGGCTCAATTTACAAGAAGTTTGTCGGGTGGGCTTGGCTATTGTCCTATTTTTTTTTTAAGTAAAAATAAAAGCTCTTAATTTTGGATGTGGATTCAAACCGCACGGGCGGGTATTTCATAAATTATGGACCACCGATCAAATTTTGATCGCTCACTAAGATGGTCGTGTCGGTTCGAACCCCATTGTGGGCAAGAATATATATGAGAAGTTTATAAATTTGTGAATCACTAAGTCAAATTTTATTCTTATTGGGTTAGACTATTTATTCTACGATTTTTGTTAACCTTGTGGTCATGGGTTTGAGCCCCATGGTGGGCGAGAATGTGTACTGAGATTTTGCACGTTCATAATTTGTATCCCACAAGCCAAAATTACCAAGACTTGTGGTCATGGGTTTGAGCCCATGGTGGGTGATTGTATTTGGGTGATTTTCATATTAAAAAAATATTAATAATAACTTGATTTTTTTAAAATGCTTTAATGACTTCTGAAATTAGGGTTTAGTTTATTTAAAAAAATTGATGGCCCTAACAATTTCTCATTTCCAAATAATGGTGTCTCCTTATCTCTTTCAAGTTTCAACTACACAAACCCAAAAAGAGAAAAAATTGAGCAAGTTGAAGCTGACAAATCAATACGACAAACTGTGATTCACTGAAAATTCTTCATTTTGAAGGAAAATCATGAAACCCTTTGGAAAAAAATGCCTGCATAGAAGCGTAATCAAGCACATGAAGGCTTCCATTTCATTCAAGTGGTGGTGTACTTGATCATGATGACTCGTGGTGCGATATAGCTCACTGAAAAGGGGCCCTCTCTCTCGACATGATTGATGCCATGGAGTTCGGGGAATCAGAAAAAGCTAAGTTTTCTTTCTTTTTCCCTTCTCTTTATTTTCTTAGACCGCAACAAAGTCATGGTATTGGCGCAGGGTTTTGACCTCACTGTTTTAATTGTACCGCCGCTCACATGCATCAAAGTGTTTGATGTAATGCCACACAGAAAAAAAAAAAGTTGGAAATGAGAAAATTCGTTGAATTTTCCGAATTACATTAATGGTTTCAGTCTGAACTATGAAATGGATTGGTCTTTTTTTGTCGTTTGAGTGAATCAATTGGGGATTCAACAGTTCATTGAATGGAAAAACACTGTTGTTCATGTTCTGGGACTTTGTGGATTCCATTTTTAGCACCTTCTGGAATTGGAATCACTCAGTTAATCTTCTGAACGCAATTCATAGCTAAGTCGAGATCTTTAAGGAAATACTAAAGAAGATGAACTGCGGAGGGGGGGGGGGGGGGGGGGGGGGGTTT